AACAATAGCAAGGCTGCAAAGGAAAGGTAGCTGGTGCAACAGTTCCAAGAGAGCTCTGTTGTGTCCAATTGATTGTGTAAGTTTTATACCCCTGAGCCAGCTAAAGGTGGACCTGGCTTCCAATGCAAAATCTTTAATCCACAAGGGCACACTCTGAAGTCTCATGGCTCAGTAGACTGCAGGTTTGGATGGGAAGCAGTTTTAGACCTGATGGTGGACGATACCGGGGTCTCACACTGTAATGAAGGGGAGTAAGTAAGAGGGATCGCGACAACAACACCCTTAGTTAAGGTAAATTATGTACCAAATGCTTTAGTTTGTACTCTAAATGTAAAAGAGTAAACTTTTAAGTACAAACAAGCGGCTTTTGAAGAGACTCCTAAGCATGGCCCAGCAAAGTGGCATGACACCTCTTACCCATGGTTGTAGAATAAGAACCCTAAAAGGATTCTCAGCTCCACCATCCAAGAAGAAACTCACATAGGAAACAAACAGATCATTTGAAATCAAGACACCAATCTAAACAGGGCTGTGGGGAGAGAAAAGAAATTCAGGTTTGCAAATTAAAATAGAGCAGAGTCCTGAGAGCTCTTGACTGCTCCTTCCACCTTTCATCATCCTAGATCTAACTCCTGGAATCACGGCCAAGACCGAAGAGGCCTCCTCATCACCAGTGCACATGAGCGAAACTCACTAAGTTCTTGCCCCAGACGGTTTAAAATCTTTTCAGTGATACAGTAAGGGAATGGTGAAGTGAGTGAATATTCGTATTTCGTGAACAAGGTCAAGCTTACTTTCCAATGCATTTGATCTGCGGTGGCTGAAATATCTTCTGTTATAAATGTAGGTAAAGAGCAAATGCATTCTCTTCCTAAGGGACTAATCTTTCAAAATTTGAGCTCGCTCCAGCAGCACATATACTAAAATTAAAACAATAGAAATTAGGCAAACTAATTTTAGGAAGAGTGTACAGGAAGACCTTAAGAGCTGTATTTCTTGGGAGTTGATTCACTTCGGTTTTAATGAGACTCATGAAATTACCTGTCATTGTAGAGAGGAACAATACAGCAAGTTCACACCCTCTCACGTCCAGAGAGGCTTTGGTTTATGAAATGTTTATTAAAGAAATACAGAAGCCTCAGTTCAGGAACTCTGTATTCATTTCTGCCCTAACTACATGATATGAATTCTGGTAAACATAAGCTCTAACAGTAAGTTGGACAAAAGTTCAGTGTATTACACCAGCTTTGAAAATTAAACAAAAGCATCCCCTTCCTTAGGCACTGAAACCTTTAAGGTGCTACTTCCTTTCACACTTTTATATGTAATCCCCAGCATGCTGTCCATTAGGGCTTCATTCTAGCTAAAGAACTATACTGAAAATCCTCTAAAGCTAGGGCTTTAATCCAATAATTTAGACCTTGCTATGGTCTCAATATGTGTCCCTCGAAGGTTCATATGTTGAAATCTGAACTTCCAAGGTAATGTAAAAAGAGGTAGATCTTTCGGAATGCAAGTAGATCATGAGGGCTCTGCGAACAAAAGTGAAATTTATACCTTGAAGAAGAGACTGAGGAAGCATATTCGGCCCTTTCACTATGTGTAAACACAGCTAAAGGATGCTGTCTGTGAGGAAGAAGACCCTCACCAGACACCAAATCTTTTGTTGTCTTAGCCTTAGAACTTCCTGTCTCTGGGCTGGGGATTTAGCTCAGCGGCAAAAGCGCTTGCCTGGCAAGCGCAAGGTCGTGAGTTCGGTTCCTGGTACCGGAGAAAAACCAAAAAAAAAAAAAAAGAACTTCCTGTCTCTGTAACTGTGAGCAATCAGTTTCTACTGTTTATAAATTCCTCATTGTAGGGTTTTGCTATTGTTGTTATAGCACACAAATGTACTTAGACCCCAAGTCCAGACCTTGGACTACAGTCACTACATCAGAGAGATCTACAGAAATGGCTACTATCCCATTGTTCCTCTCCATAGGAACACAAGCAGGTAATGAAATCGGTATCTGTCTCATTTGTTACGTATGCTCAACAAAGTGGAAACTGGTCTTTTTAGTTCAATGTTACATGTGGACTGAAGAGCTGATCTCCATTTAGCTCAAAGCAGAAAGGAAAAACATTAACTTGACCTAACACCTGCAGGATCTGGGAACCATAAAGTAGAGATGCCTGATCACAGACTAGATTGCCAGAGGGTGGAGAGTGCAAAGTTTTGAAGGATTCATGGTGAGTGGATCCACAGAATGGAGCATCTGGCACAATGTTACGTTGTTGCTCTTCAGGTCTTGAGGATTTATTCAGAAACACACACAGACTTTGTGGGGCCTTTTAGGTACTGCTGACTATGTAGTTCTGATGCAGATCAGGCAGCCAAACTGCATGGATTGAGACAACTGGCTGTCCTGGAAAGGTAAGTCCAGGTGCCTTTAGGAATACAGGCTCCCATTCCCGTGCTTCTTGAAGCATGTGAGCCTGAAACCCAGGCCTGAGAAGGGCAGGGGAGAGGAGAGGCAAAGCCAACAGCCAGCTGAAAGGGGGACATACTGGAAGTAGTCACTTGCTGTACCACCCCCAGGCTTGGTAGCCATGGCCTCTGAACCGTGAAGAACTACAGGAGCTCTACCCACAAGAGTCCAAGTCCCATCCTGCATTTGAGAGCCAAGGTCTCAGGATCTGGTACAGTAGGACTCTCAGCCTGCCGGGAGCAGTACAGGGAGGTATGCGTTCCTCTTATTCTGGGGCTTATGAATAGCAAAGGGTTCCAGTGGCCATTTACATCTTCGATACCTTGTGTGGATGGAGAGGGGATGGCTTACTTTCTCCTCACTGGGGACAGACTTATGAAGCAGGTCCTCAATTCAAATATCAGACCATCTTTCACTGTAGCTTCCAGTGCTCCCTAGACAATGATGACACCACCAATTTTATCTGCAGTGTAGACTCTTTTCCGGTGCTCTAACCCAGTCATCAGCAAATTTTTTTCTGTAAACACAATGTTTTAAAAAAAAATACATTCTTAGACTGGCTCAGGGCTAATCAGGCTATACTTTGCTGACCACTGTGCTAGATCTCCCAACCCATTCACCCTTTCCTCAGGCCTCCCTCCTCACCCTGGCTTTCTTGTTTCCCATCTACAAAAAAAATCTTTTCTTCAATAGGAGCAAATATTCAACCATGAGAGCAGCAAGATTTTTAAAGGCACCAAATATGAGGCAAGGACACACGAAAGTTGGGTGGTTGGGTTAGTCATCTATTGCTATGAGGCAATTTACCCAAAACTTTGTGGCTTAGAATCAAAACATTTATTATCTTCCTGACAGTTTCTGTGGATAAGAAACCCAGAGCTTCTGGATTGCCTGGGTAGTTCTGGCTCAGGATCTCCCCGCAGATGAAAATATTGGGCAGATTGGCAAGCAGATTATAAAATTTATAAGGAAAGGCAAAATGCCTACACTACATAAAACAATTCAAAACAGAACAAAGTTGAAAGAATTTCATGCCCCGATTTAAAAACTTACTATGAAACTACAGTTATCAAGAACAGGAAATTTATTAAAGGAAGAGTAATTTGTTCAAAAACTGGTACTGGGGAAAATGAATGTAGACTCTGACCTCACGTGATACACAAAAGTTAAGGCAAATTGGATCACAAATGTAAATAAAGAGCTGGAACAATAAAATGCTTGGAAAGAAATATAGGAGAAAATATTTAAGATCTTAAATTAAGCAAAGAATTAAAATATAAAACAAAAACATAGTTGATAAAAGAAAAAAATACATAGAACCCCATCAAATTTCAAAATTTAGCATTTCCATAGATACCATTAGGAAAATGAAAACATAAATAATAGCCTGAGAGAAAATACTTGCAAAACGTTTGCCAATAAGAGACTTACACCAACAGTTTAGAAAGAGCATTTAGACCTGTATAAGAAGGCAATCCAATCATAAAAGAGATAAAAGATGTGAAGAGACTTTTCTCCAAAGAGCATAGATAAATGATATTACATACAAAGATGTTCAACATCTCAAGCCGTGGAGGAAATACAAATTTTAAAACTATGATAAGGTAATATTTCACATCTGCTAAAATAGTGACAATGGACAATAATAAATATTAGCAAGAAAAGAGAAATGGAAACATCCATACATCACTAGTGAGAAGGTAAAATGACATCATTTCTGTAGAGAGTAGTACCACAGCTCTTCAAAAACTTAAACATAATGTCGTATTCAATTCCATTGGTAGGTATAGTCCCAAGAGAAATGAAGACAGTACTCCCAAAGACTTCCATGTATTTATTCATAATAGCAAAAAAGTAGAAACAGTCTAAATAAAATACAGTATATCTGCATAATGGAACCTTGCTCGGCAAAGAAAAAAGAACTAAACATACATTTAATACCCACTACAACATGGATGAACTCAAAGTCATTACTTTAAATGGAAGCAGTCAGACATAAGTGACCATGTGCTATTATTTTGCTTACATGAATTGTCTTAAAAATGCAACTACATAGATGTTGAAAGTAGATGTTTGCTTAGGGCTAGAAGTGGGAAGGAGGATTAACTATAAACAGTCATGAGGAATACTAATATTAAGAGGTTCTATGTGCATTACTCAGTGACCTTACTAAAAATCACTAAATTGTACACCTGAAGTGATTTAATACGAAGATATGCCTCATAGGAGGTAGGACCATGTCTTAGTTACTTTTCTTGTTGCTGAAACAAAACACCCAACACCCACAGTTAAGGGAGGAAAGATTTATTTAGCTCCCAGTTTATAGAGGTTTCAGTCCATAATTGACTGGTTCCAGGGTAGTGTGGTTTTCAGAGGAGAACAGTTCATGGTGGGCAGAAGACAGCGAAATCAACAATTGACCTTAACAGCATCTTTCCACCCCTTTTATACTCTATCCAGGCTTCTGGATTACGGCAATGCCAAACCAATCAGCGAACTGATTACACACCATTAATCCCAGCATCACACACTCTAGATTCAGCCACCTCTGAAAAGCCCTGTGGCTGCATGAGGCTTTGGGGGGATGCCTAGACACAAACCATCACAGAGCAAGTGGTGATTCTTCAGTCACTGGGAGGGGGTGTCTCAAAAAGGGCACCATAGAACCACAGTCTCCTCGTCTGTCTGTTTCCAGGGTCAAGACCTGGCCACTTGCTCTGATGTACTCCCACCACAATGGGCTACCCTTACCAGAGACCCAAATTGGTAGGACTACCAAATCTTGGACTTGTGCCTCTAGAATTATAAACCACAAAAATAAAAGTCTCATTATTTTATAAGTATCCTGGTCAGGTATTTCATTATAAAGGCAGAAATCTGATTAATAACCCACACACACATGCTTAACGTACAATAGTAGGATGATATAGGACGAGTGTAATAATGGGGGAAAGGAGGCTCCCCAGAGTGTCTGATTGCTAGTGACCCTGAAATAAGCTGCTAACTGCACATGTTAGCAGTTCCTTGATGAGACTGTAGACCTTGGAATAACACCCAGCCTCTTATCTCTGTTTTGGGCTCTTGATTCTGACCATTTTTTTCCTTGAAAAATACCACACTTGTAGTTGTCTAGTTTTCTCGGCATGTTTCCTGCTTTAAAAAGTTTATGGGCTCAAATGATTTATTTTTTTTCATTTTATGTGATGTGTAGTCCTTTCAGTCCAAACTGACGGTATTTCTGTGAACACAGTTATTTGAAGAATGCTATGGGTCTCGTACAAATTGTTTTGCCATTTACTCTATTAGAGACAGAAGACCTGCCCAAAATCTCTGAGCTCAGCCCTTCTCTACCCTAAACTCTGATGGAGTTGCCGAGGGGTAGCAACTATAGACACACCGTTAGTTGACACAGTTGCTCTTAAATCTTTCTGAGTTCCTAAACGGTTTTGTAACACTGCCATTAGCTTCATATTTAGGTGATATTTTCCTGACCGTGCTCTAGCTTTGATCTTTGCCAGAAACTATATCTTGCTCTTAGTATCAGTTACCATCTGAAGGGCTGGTAATTGTCAAAACTGGCAAGCTATTCCCCTTTCGCTAATCATTTCCCTTTAGTTTATCTCTTTTTAATCCTATATCATCATAACATTTCTTTCAGCAATTTACGCCACTGGTTTCTCACACTTTCTTCACTCTCACTGCTAAGCAGTTAGTCCCATAGATGGCAATTAGACTTCTGTTAGCCGTTCCTCAGAGCTTGTTCAGGATTTTCCTGAGGTATTCTGTGAGGGCTCTCTGTCCATTCACGGCCTGGTTCTACCACATGCTCTCTCACTTTAGATTTTTGCTTTGGTAACACCTCATTTCCAAGCATGAAAACCTACATTAGTTATCTATAGCTGGATAACAGATTGCTCCAAAACTTTCTGGATTAATACAACAGTAAACATCAGAGGCTTTGAGTTTTCTTTGGTAGACAAAGTGCTCTTCAGCAAAAAGGTCCCTCAGTTTAGGAACCAAAAAGAGGCTGACAGTTCATGAACTCTCACAGTTCATGTAGCCCATGTGTTTGTGAACTTGATTGGGCAGTTCTGGCTCAAAGTCTCCCAAGAAGTTGGGGTCAAGATGTCAACAGGGGGCTGCAGTCATCTGAAGAGGCGACAGCCTGGAGAATCCACTTTCAAAGTGACTCATTCAGGCAGGTAACATCTGTTGAAAGAGACCTGGTTTAAAAGACCTTTTGGACAAATAGAATGTGACCTACACGATATTCTGGCACTTCCAAAGGCAAGTCAAAGGAGCCTCACAGATTCTATCCAGATTTATAATCCCACTGTGAAATCTGGCTATCATGCTCAGAGGCAGCCTTGTGGACAGCCCCAAGTGGAAAGGTACTAAGGCCCTTAGGCAGTAGCTAACACAACTTTCCAGCCCTGCATCTGCGACATCTGAGAAATGGATCTCTCAGACCCAGGAAGAACGTCCCAATGATGCCTTATAAAACAGAGATGGAGTCACTCCCCGCTGCGTCCTCCCTGAATTACAGATTTGTGAGAAAATACATCATTTCCTTTGCTTTAAGGGACTTAGTTTTGAGATTGTTTATATCAATAGATAACTGGCCAACATTTAACTGATAAGAATTTCAGAAAGATGAGAGGGGGGAAAAAAGAGAAAACAATAAAAGGAAGGAAACTTTCAAAATAATACAAGAAAAATTCCCAGGACTGAATCTCCAGATTTAAACCAAAAGAGAAACAAACTACTGATTGCCCAGTGCAATGCATTTTTAAAAAATACTGTGCAGTGGATGTCATAAAATGTGAGGATAGAACCTATAAGGACAAGATCCTAAAAACATCCAAATAGAAAGATGAATCACATCCAAGTAGAAATCAAACTGTTCTCATTTAGCAGTGTTGGAAGCTAGAACAAAATGAAGCAGTGCTTCAAAACCATTAGAAAAGTATTTTCCACCCAGAATTCTAGTCCCAGTCAGACTATTAAGCAAGATTGAGGAGAGAATAAAAGCATATTTCTTTCTGACATGCAAGCTCTGAAATATTCATTCTGCCAACAAACAGACTCAGCCAACAATAAAGAGATCTGTGACACAGGACACAGAGCTTGAGCACTAGAGATGAGAAGGAACTTCTGGAGGAAGAGGAAGGGAAATCCCCTGTGCTTTTTTTTTTTTTGGTTTTTCTCCCGGTACCGGGAACCAAACTCAAGACCTTGCGCTTGCCAGGCAGGCACTTTGCCGCTGAGCTAAATCCCCAGCCCCACCCCTGTGCTTTTAGAACAGCACCCCGAAGAGGCAGAAAGTCTGTGCGGAGAATGAAGGGCTGGATGTGAGGGAGGTGGAGTGAGTAAGTTTCCTGGGATTTCCACACTGAAAGGAGTTTTGTGGTTCCGGCACTGACTTACGTTTCAAACAGTAACAGGTAAATGAAAAGCTGAGCAAAAACAAAATACTAGTAAAGATACCCTTAAGGTTACAGGAAGCAAAATGTACCAGAGGAAGGAGATGTACATACACTATCCTATAGACTCAACTATGACGATGTTTAAGTGGTCATGATAATATAAACACAAAGTACTGAACCCAAAATCGTGGTATGATTGTATTGTAAGAATGTGGGAAGGAAAGTGCATATTCCAGTAACAGGGTCAGTTTGAGAGAATTCAATGATCTTCTGCCAGGGTAAGAAATACTTAGCTAGGGGCTGGGGATTTAGCTCAGCAGCACAGCGCCTGCCTGGAAGGCACAAGGTTGTGAGTTTGATTCCTGGTACCAGAAGAAAAACAAAAAACAACAAAAACAAAAAAGAAATATTTAGCTAATGGTTTAAAATGAAAAAAAAAAAATCAAAAGAAAGTAGTCTACAAACAGAGTTTGACTATAAGGCCGTACAGTGACCCCCTAGGTCCATGTGAGTTCTTCTAGTCTTTCTTTCATTTTTTTAAATATCTGGTAATCTGAGCAACCACTTTGAAGATAACATTATGGAATGTAATAACCATTGTTAATATCCTATCACCTTGTTTTGAAATTCTGTATCATTTTTATTGTTTTTAATGCTGTTTTATTTATATATTTGTTTTTGTTATTTTTTTTTTCTTCCAGTCTTTCTTGAGGGAGGATTTGGTCAACCAGAACAGGACCAGAATGAAGGTGAGGCAGGGGAGATGAGGGGGTTCAAATTCTCAGTCCACAACCTTGCAAGTCAAAGCTCCCTTAGATTTTGTGCTGCGGGACATACTTGAATTCTATCCATGGAGAAACCACTGGATATTATCAAGGTGGTGATAGAAAGAACAGACTGTAGAAAAACCAAGGAAAATGGAGAGAAAGGGGAGGTGGCTCTGGATGATATTAGAGACATCCTAATAGGGGTATGGAGGGGTGGGAAAAGAGTCTTCTCCACTAAGCCTGAAGAAAGGAATGGGCTTTTGCAAGACAGAAAAAGGGAAAACATTCTAAATTCAACAAGAACAACAGCTACAATAACAACAACAACAAACCCAAAGGAACAAAAGAAAGGACCCAGTGTGTGGGACTGAGGGAAATGAACATAAGTGATAAAGGAGACAGGACGAGTGAGATCCACTGATGCCTTATTATGGAGCGTGACTTAAAGACACTAAGGCAGATTTTCACTATCTGATTAGAGTCCCGAGAAAGCACTGCTTGCAAAGCAGAATTTAAGAATAACCTATAGTCGATTTTCCATCTCTCCAAGGTCTCCAAACAAAACCCAGAAGTTGTAATTTGTCAGCATCGCTTGGTTGATGATTGTGGCCCACAGGGACTTTGAGGCAGCTGGCATGAATCATCTTAGACGCTTCCACTTGGACTTTCTTTACCATGCGTGGGATGAGCTTGCACGGAGGTGCTGTCACCCCTGCAAAGGGGAGCCCAAGTAGTGAGATGCCAACAGTCCCCTCTTCTCCAAAGCCAGATTCCCATGAGTGCCTGGGAAATAGACCAGGAAGTTTAAGCAGGAGAGACTGAGAATTTGTGATGATTGAAGAGACCACTGTGAAAACAAACAAACATTTAGTTCCAGCTCCTCTAAAGAAACGCTGGACAATGTTTTGTTGGCCTGTTGACTGACTTAGCATAATATTGTCTCAATCTTGGTACGGTATCAATTTCTGACAGTACAATTGCGGGCTGAGGCAAGAGTGCATTGTCTACAGGGCCAGCCAAGGAAATTGGGAACTTGGTCAGTGGCTGTAAATATCCTCTTGGTGTTTCAATTTGTTTACTCTGTCGTGCTCTCTCTGGGGCTGAAAGGCCGCTGGGACACACTGGCACCAGTGTTCAGTGGGAAAGATTAGCTGCTGAGATAAGGGTTGGGGGTCCGCCTTGAGACGTGCCATGGAAAAAAAGATCTAATTTAGCCATTAAATCCCTCAAAAGGGTGGTGAGTTTGACTATAACAATGGGGTATTCAGAAGAACACTTGGTGGACAGGAAAGGGATTTTCAAACATAGATGCAGCAAAGGCTTAGGGGACTGAAGCGTCACTCCCTCTTCTTATTGACCCTCAGTGAGAAGACTCCAGAAGGAGGGTCCTAGTTTTCATGACCAAGAGTTGCTGGAGACCAAATACTAAAGGCAGAAGACATCAAAATCTGTTGAAGATTTCTGCCCAGTGATTTGCTGTGGGTGGTCCTGGCTGAGTTTAGAGGGATGAGCTCACTGATCCTTCCTGATTTTAAGTGTCCTAACATATGTGACTACTCCAGAAGATCTTTCTTGGAAAGCTGGGGAAGAGACATCACACATAAAGAAGTACACAGGGGGAAAACGTGTATAAGTAAGCACATGAAGATGAGGGGGAATCCTGATTGTACATTCAACAAGACTTACATCGAGCAACAGAAAGATTCACATATCCCTAGTGGGTGGTCCACCAAACTGAAACTATCCACACACGTACACACCTCCTAAGAACTAAAGGAAAGGGATTCTCCAGTGTCTGTGATTCTTCAGTTTGAAATGTCTTGTTTGTATTTAGTGTGGAGTGTTTTCCCTGAAGGAAATCCTGTTTGAGATTAGTATTGGCTAATTCCTCCTAACATCCTTAAAGAAACATCCAGGGAAACTAAATAAACCCCCACCCTTCCAATTGCATGCCAAGCGGTTTGTCTAGAGGAGTTCAGGAGAGATTTCACATGAAGCAAGACACAAGGCTGTCTCCTCCTGTGGATTCCTGCTAGAGCCACTGTCACTGACAGCTTCCCAGGTGGAGCAGAAGAAATCTTGATCTCACCACTGGCATTGTGAAGTAGTGTGGCACTAGAAGTGAACCAATTTGAGGCCAATTTCCAACATGGTTATGTTCAAGCAAATCCAAGCCTTGGTTCCCATGCCTATAAAATGAGGAGAAATGTTCATCTCAAAGCCACTGGGCAAATCAAATGAGCCAATATATATGTAACAGTCTCCCATAGCTTATGAGGCACTCAACACACATTATTATTATTATTATTATTATGCATGGTTTCTTCAATCAACCTAAAAAACCAAAATGACAGGAAATACTCATTTTTTATAATCGAACAATAGTGTGTTCTTATTAGGCAAAAAACCCCACAGATTATGATTGTTGTTTGTCATTGTCAGATTATAAACATCACATTTCCCAACCATTGTTTCTGTCGTGTTTTCTTTCACAAAGCACTATAAAATGATATAATACCAATACCCTAGAATGGAGGGGAAGTAGGAATTCAGAACCCGGGAAACAGAGTCTGCATGGTCCAATATATTGTCCATCACAAATCTGAAGGTCCTCCATCCTCTAAGTCTCTTAAGGCTGGCTTTTCTCATTTTGTCCTGCCTGTTACCTTGGTTATTCAACAAGGTTTACCTGGATTACGACAGTAACCTGTCTAACTCTTGTCTCTGTGCTCTGATATATTCATTCCATTTTCACAGGAAGAGTTGGGCCATCTCCTCACTGTCCGTGACTTGATTCCCTTCACTGTGTCTCATGCTAGCTATGCTGAGTCTTATTTAACAGTTTTTACTTTCCCAAATCATGCTTTCTACCTCTGAGACTCTACCTGAAATGAAATTTTGATAGCCCCTCTCCCTTTCCTTTGTTAGGTCTTGGGTAAGGTAGCCTCACCTTTGGGAAGCCCTTCTAATTCTCCTCAGGCCATCTATCTCCTTCTGAATCCTGAAGGATACCCATCCTATACGGTCAAGAGTAGTCTGCGAATTTTCTTAGCACCAGTGAAATGGTACTGCCACTGTTTATTTGCAGATTTTTCCTTACTACATTGTGAGCATCGTAAGGAAGGGAATTATGTCAAATATCTTTTTTAATTTGCGAGACCTAACACAGTGCCTGGAATAGTATGCATCCAATGTATATTTCTTGGAATAGACAGATAACAAAATGTCAACAGAAATGAGTCAGCAATGATGGCAGTTTATTTGTTGATTTTTTTATGGAAAAAAAGTAAAACAAAATTTCAAAACAAAATAATAAGAGAATAACAGTAATTAATACATTATATTGTTATCTTCAAAGTAATTACTCTGAGTACTAGATATGGGCATTAAAAATTCTCCAAATAATATTAGCACAAACCTTTCTTTTTAATAAACTAGGGAATCTAGTAGTGTAACTCTCTTGTACTTTTTTTCCTTGCCCTTTTCCCTCATCCTAGTTCATCTTTCCTTTTGAGCAATTTTTTCCCATTTCACAATATCTATTGTACATTTTGGACTTTATTTACTCTTTCCGTTTCTCACACCAGGGAAATAATTTGATGTTTACCCATGTGAGTCTGACTTATTTCACTTATGTGCATGATCTTGAGTTGCATCCATTTACTAAAAGTCTCAAATTTATCCTTCTTTATGGCTAAGCAATACTCCATTGTATAAAAATACCACACCTTTTTTATCCATTCCTCAGCTGATGAGCATCTGAGTTGTTTCCAAGATTTAGCTACTACAAACTGTGCTGCCATGAACATAGGTGCACATATATCACAGCAGTATTGTGTTCTTAATTCTTCCAGGAAGATACCCAGACAGGGAGTAGCTGGGTTGAATGGGATAAGGTCAGACAGCCCCCGCAACATAGGATGTTTTGTAATGCATGCTTGGCAGAAGCAAGGGGATGGAGTGGATATACCCTCTCCCATCCGGTCCTTTCTCTAGCTTGGGTTAGAATAGGGGTAGGGAGTAATTTCTTTAAAAGGAAAAAAGAAAAGGAAAGGAAAGGAACTATTTATTTGAGCACTTACCACATTCCAGGAGTGTAACAATCTGAATATTCCATTCAATCTTCACGGTAGTCATGTACGGTTGGTGTTTTTAATCCTCCTTGTACAGATGAAGAAACAAAATGTTACAGAGTTTAATTAACTCTCTGTGATCACACAATTCCCAAAAGATGAAACCCAGATCTGATCCAGATTCTCCTGAGTCTTTCATCCATCTTTCTCTAAGGAGAGTCCAAATAATCTCAGGTTATTGCAGTGTGGAGGGCGTACCTGGAGACAATTTTACTTAAAGATTTTGTAGGAAATGCTATGTGTATATGCCAAATCAAAAAGTTATGTACATATGCTCTATCAATATTTACGATAAAGAAAGATGTAAAACAAGATGTTTTCAGATCCAGCACAGCCTGCTTTGGGAGGAGGCCCAGGTTTCCAGCTTCTACCCACTTTCCTCTGGGGTCACCAGAGTCACCATATGGAAATGTTTGAGAAGCTCTGGACAAGCATCAAGACAGAAGCAGATGTGAGTCAAGCATGAGGAGGAGTTTGATGACACCATTGCCTCCAGACCGTGGGATGGCTGAAGAGGAAGCTCCAGCTGTGACTCACAGGGCCCAGGGTGAGAGAATGAGCTAGCAGGAGCTCAGCTGAGAGCTCAGCAACACAAACTAGTTCAAGAAGACATTTCTAAACCCTGAACCCAGACATCACCCTTTCTAGCCCTGAGCTCAGGGACATGGTGACTTGCGAAGGAGACTGAGAAAAGTCAGTGTCTTCTGGATTGGTCTCAGTGAGAATACTGAGGAGAAATGCAGGCTTTTCAAGATGGACTTAGAGAGATGCCTTGCTAACAAAGAACCTTCCACTGGAGTTTTATCTCAGTGTTTGTTTCCCAGGCCACTTAACCTTTGATCAGTGTTCCAGAATTGTCAGTCAATCTAAGACTTTGATTTCAAGTCATATCTAACAAGTTGTTATGGTTTGTGCCTGGGTGTTCCCCCAGGGCCTCATGCGGTCATGGGGCAGGCTTTTAGAGTGTGACTGATTATGGGTGTGAGAGCTACACCGCCCTGGGGTGGATAGTTTGCATATGTAAGGGAGGGGAAGAGGCTGCCTGAGGCCATTCCTCCCTTTTGGTGCTTGTTGCTTTTGCTGTGTTCTGCTGCCATGAGCTGCAGCCCTCTGCCATGTGCCACTCTGCCTTGTAACCTGCCAAGTATGGACTAAAACCTCCACAAACTGTAAGCGAAATAAACCTTTCCTTCCTTAATTTTGGGCATCAGGTATTTTGTCCCAGCAACGAGAGAAAAGTAGCCAAGACACAAGTATATGTATTCTACGTTAACATACACATCTTTCCACATTTTAATGTCTCTGATATTGATATGCATCCTAAAAATCTGTGGTATATCATGATTTAATGGATTGTTCTCTTTCCATCAGGTGTTACATTAAATAGTGATGTTTCTCATCATCAGTGGCTTCTTGTAATGAAAATAATATATTGTGCTTCTACTTCTGGGTTCCCACATAAACATTTGTTCTATGAATTTCCCAGAGAGATGTAAAAGAAACATCTCCTTCCGAATTGAGAAGGCTCTTGTAGTCCAAAGAACAACTTGGATAAATCCAGCTTGCCAAGTAAGTGAATTCAGTAGAACTCACTTACAGAGCAGTGGGCTGCCTATAGGCTGTAGTTCTACCGAAGCACTATTGACAATCCCCCCTTTGCTAGGCTACTTGCTCTACAAGCCTATAAGGCAAACAAAAAGCAGAAGCAAAAGACAGGAGTCCTTGGGGAAAATTCTGTGCACTCTATTCCCTTCCCACCCCTATGGGGAACTCCACTGGTCCAGCAAGCTCTGCACAGCTACAGTGGTGGATGACCTCTGGTGCTTCAGTCTGGCATTCAGCCTCAGCACCAGGCAGGCCCCACTGGGCAGCGCTACACAGTGGCCACTACAAGATGGAATTACTTTAGCTAGGCTTCAGGGCCGTTTCTCCCTATAACACACTCTATCTAGATAAAGTTAATGAATTTTAGACATTATAAACTGCTGAAATTTACCATCTTATGAAAGCTTTTTCTTTTTTGTCTTTTCAAGACAGGGCTTTTCTATTCAATTTAGGCTGGTTTCAAACCCACAGCAATCCTCCTGCCTCAGCCTCCTGAGTGCTGGGATTACAGGCATGCACCACCATGCTAGGCATGAAATCTTCAAGTGAAATACCATGTGCAAAAGAAATTGTCTTGGTTGAGGCAGAGCTGAGGCCCCTTCATTTGGAAAGGTCCACTGAGAAGCCCCTGAAATCCCCTGAGGCATTTCTACAGCACATAGCAAATTAAGCAGATAATAAATGGATGAAGGTGTAACTACAAGGTGCAATATAAGCATTAAAGTTGGTATTATTGTTCATTTCCATATCTGCCTCCAACTACGTGCCAGAAATAGGCCCTTGTATAATTATGTCAGTAATAAACACTTATATAACTATTTGAGCTTGTCCATGCATTTCCCCTCAGTATCCAGGGAGGACTGGACCCCTTATGGATACCAAAATTGATGGATGGATGCCCAAGTTCCTTATATAACAGTGCATATCATCTGCATATAACCTAGGTATATGCTGCTGTACACTTTAAATCATCTCTAGATCACCTATTATACCTAAAGCAATGCAAATTTTACATACATAATTGTCATACTTTATTGTTTGGGAGCAGTGATGAGGGGAAAAAAATCTACATATGTTCAGCTCACACAGCATTTTTCCCCCCTGAATATTCTTTCATCTACACTTGATTAATCCCACAATACAGAAGCTACAGTTATGGAAGTCCAATTAGCATATGTAAATATGTAACTTTGATAAATCTGTAAAATGCAAATATCAAAAGCAGTAAAGCCTATCTGGTATAGATTAAACTGTATTTAGAACAAATATTAATGACTATAAACATGTTTATAAAGCCATTATTATAAACATATTAATAAATACATTAATTGATTAGTTAATTAAGCTTTGGATACAAAGAAATAGAATAACTGGAAAAAGCCTAAGCAAAATGAGGCATAGAAATCAATAAAAATTAAAGTAAAAATTAAGTAATTAATTATAAAGCAAAAAGATACTGCTATGTTCTGATTCTTCAGAAAAGAACAGTATCTAAAATAAACAGCAATAAGAATATCACCACCTAATCATCAGATCTGGCAGGTTAGAGAGCCTTCACATTGTAAAAAGAAAAGAGATTTTTGTAATAAAGTAAAAGTATAAAAAAATTAAAATGTTCATCTCTCTATTGAAGAAGTATTACTCAATTTACTTAGGATGATTTCTCCTGGATTGATTGTATTTTATATGAAAGGGATATCTTTATAGTCTAATTTTCAGTATTAAATTTAAAATTCAATAGAAAGTTATTTGAATTGCAAATATACTTGTTTTCTTAATAAAAGAATATTCATTAAAGAAATTGCATATGTAGAAAAATATACTGAAGCATAAAGAATAAAAATGATACCCACTATGGTGGATTGACAACTGGTGGTCAGCTTGTAACACCCAGCTGAACTGAACTGGCACGGTGCTGGGTGTGGGAGGCCCACCTGAGGATTGCTGCTAGCAGTATAAGGGGCAGAACTGGAGAGGAAGAAGTTTAGAAGCTGTTAAGGAGCTGCTGGTTTTTGTGAAGCTGTTGGTTCTCATGGAGTACCTTGTCAGGCTAGCTTTCCTGATATGAATGTAGCTGTTCTCATTGTTGGAAGAGCTTGGGACCTTGTCACTAAGAATGGCTATGGTTCACTTTGGAGGAGCTTTGGTCCTTACTTTGAGCATCACTTTCTGGTTCTGGAGGGGAAGATGGTGCACTGTTCAATGTCCTTTAGAAGCTTGTTGCCCTGGCTTTCCTGATATAGATTCAGCTGTTCTCATCATAAGAGGAGCTCAGGACCTCACTGTTGCTGAGGATGGCTGTGGTACCTTCCAGGGGAGCTCTGGTTCTTATTTTGAGCATTGCTTGCTGGCTGCAGTGCAGATCCCTCACCCTGCTAGCACAGATCCTTCATCCCACTGGGTACAGACCTTCTAGCTTCCACCACTGACCTTTGGGCCTTCCCAGCACAAATCCATGAAACAGGCCTGCATGAGACATTGTCGTGGGTTCTTGGCCTCTAGTTGAATCCATGGAGGACCTTGCAATGGGCTCTAGATCTTCACCTCGACTCAAGCAGGACATTATGGTGGGATCCAGGCCCTCAGCTGGATTCTTTGGTCTTCAGTGTGTGTGCAGATTTCCTGCACTCTCTTTGTATATGATGCTTTGGATGACTATTATAAAATACTCTTACAAAATATGTGTCCTGTATTAAATTGTTCCCCTTGCAAAACCCAAACTGCAACACTTACAAAGGCACCATTTAGAGTACACTGTTAACATAAAGTCATAGACTTCAATATACTGTGCATATTCACTTGACATTGACCCTGAGCATTTTATTATATTATATTTTTATTATATATTTTTATTTATTTTATTAGGACATTCTTGCTGTACAGAATGTTTACATTCCTTGTGTAGAGGTGATACATGTACACAGAACATCTTAATTCCGTTTCTGTCCCCACTCCCACCCTTCCCACTGCCCAACTCCTGGTCCTCTTCCTATTTGCGAAAAGTCTGTTTCCCTTCTTCCTGTTATCTATCTTTTATCTTTCTCTTTATTTATAATTTGGGTTTCTCATAAGAGAAACCATGTGACAGTTAAGGTTACATGGTTTATTTCTCTTAATGTTATTAAGTACTTATCTGCATCACTTTGATAGTTGCACAGTATTTCATTGCAAAACATATAATTTAGTTAATCAATACTCTGTTATTGGAAATTTTGACTACTATCAAATATTTTCATTCATGTATAAAACTTTAGTGAATAACTTGTGTACACTCTTATTACTTTTAAAGAATAAATTCCTAAAAGAATTGCTGGCTCAAAGATCAGAAAACCATTGAATATCTTTTGTTTGTGTGTTTGAGACAGGGTCTCCCTATGTAGTTCAGGCTGGCCATGAACTCATGGTGTTGCCTGGGCTGGCCTTAAACTCACAGTGAACCTCCTACCTCAACCTCCTGAGTGCTGGGAGTACAGGCATGTGCCACCATGCCTGGATAAATATCTTGATATAGGTAGCTAAATTGCCCTTCAGTAATATTATATTATACACACCCAAGGAATATTCTTACAAACCCATTAATTTATAAGCACATAACTTTTCAGCATTTTCATCTAAAAAGAGTGTGCTAGTGAAATCTTCAGCTACCCTGACAACACCAGTCCAAATTAGAAGACTGTAAGAAGAAAAAAGACATCAAGGTAAAGCTAAAGTAGATTCCATCTAACCAATGGCCAGGTCCCAGATAGCTGAGCAATTTCAGACACACACCATGCTTCCTTAGCC